ACACCTATATTTTTATATATATATATATATATATATATATATATATATATATATATATACTTTTTTTTTTTCTCTCCCCTACTTGTCCCTTCCGTTTTGTTGTGTCAGGGTGAGTTGTCCCCTTCTCCCTATTCTTATATATTTAGTGTCGGATTTTGGTCTGGGTTTGCTATTCCTTTGGATTGGTTTGGCCTGGGTCAGTCATTTCTACAAGCCTTCCTACCTCAGCGGAGAGTATGTAATTTTCCCCTAGTGTGGGGGGGTGATAGGTTCACCTATAATCTTGTTGGGTCGTGGTTGTAAGTCACCCTTAGCATTATTACATTTCGTCACTGTCATATTTACAGTTTGGTACATGCACATACAATCATACGACCTGAGGTTGGCTTGTGCTTTCGTATAAGCATAAGGGCTGAGTCCAGGTTAAGAATATGGCATTATCGGAGTTCCAATCCAAATAGATATTCCGGTCTGGGTAGATAGTCCAACGTCCGTGAGTAGACTGTGGTCCTGAAGAGAGGGGTATTCTGGAAGTACGTCTGGCAACTATTGGGTACGATCCTCTAGTGTTCTATGGTGTTGTTCTGTCCTCCTGCCCCCTGCGGTATATGTCCAGCGTGGGCCAACCTCTGCCTCTTTGCCGGGGATCTCCATCGTGGTCTTTGCTGCGCTGATGGTGCGGTGAGTGCTGGATCCAGTGCGTACCAATCCAAGATGTTCGTTTCTGTTAGATTCAGTGCTTTAGTGAAGGGGGTGATGTCTTGATGCGTGGAGATCGTGAACGTGGTTCCGCGGGTGTTGACGATGAGGGCAAAAGGATAGCCCCATCTGTATCTCAGATTGCGCATGCGGAGCTGGTCTGTTATGGGCCGAAGGGCCCTCCTTGCTTGCAGGGTGTGCCAGGAGAGATCCTGGTATATCTGTATCTCATGTCCCTGAAACCGCATGGGGGCTGAGGTATCTCTGAGGTGTTTCAGTACATCTTCCTTTAGAGCATAATAATGAACACGGCATATAATATCTCTTGGTGTATCGCCTGTGGCCGATTTGCGTCTCAGAGAACGATGTGCCGTATCCAGGATCACTGGGGCGTCTGGTTTATGGTTGAGTATTAGGGTAAATAAGGTAGTCAGGATGGTATAGAGATTTTCCCCATCTTGTTCGGGCATTCCCCTTACCCGTAGGTTATTCCTTCTACCCCTGTTATCTAAGTCGTCTAGAGAGCGCTGTAGCATGGATAGGTGCCTCTCTTGGGCTTGGACTTTAGCTGAGAGGGAGTGCATTAGGGATTGGTGGGACCCCCTTTCATCTTCTAGGTCCTGCACTCTGCGGCCTACCTAGTTTATTTCTGAGCTGAGACCCTCCATTTTGTGCTGGAAGGTGGCTTCTAGCTTCCCCAGCATCAGTGCTAGGTCGGCTCTGGATGGTAGGTTCCGTAGTATGTCTTTAATATCGGCCTCCATCAAAGTGTTTGAGGCCTCCGACCCCGCGGGGCTCGGTGGGTCTGTGTCAGTGTTTACTGCCGCTGGCGCCATATTGCTTTCGCCGATCTCCGACACGCGGTCAGAGTATTCCCTGAATAAACGGGTGACAGTGCCCGTTTTTCCTGCGGGGGTCTTCCCTGCCTGTTGGAATGCCGGTAGAGCCTTTTTGTGGTTCCCCATTGTGGTGCAGTACCTCCGTTTTTCGCGTTTTTTCACCGTGTAGCTCAGGAGCTAAATCAATGTGCTGCCATGTAGCTCGGCTGTCGGCCACGCCCCCTCCTGTTTATTGTTTGTGAAGGGCAATACTCTCTTCTTTTAACTTTGTGGGCCATTCTTTTGACTTATTTTTTAACATGCATTCAAACAGTTGGATTTGGGGAAAAACACTTAAATCATTTGTTGTGTTGAGTTATATCAATTGCTTTTGTTTGATTTCAGCAAACTGAAAGTCTGTACATTTTGACAATTAACCTGATTTTCAATGGGGGTTAAATGATTTTAATTACAACTGTAGCTGAGGTGGAAACTTTATCTGTTTTTTTTATTTTTTTAACCTAAGTTTTGCAACTTAGTTACATCCATTACAACTTTCAGTTTACAGAATAAATTCCTTAGTAAAAGGGTTATTTTATTATTCACTTATCTTGGATCTTGGAAATATAGTCTAGTTTGGCAAGATGTGCAGTAGACTATTGTTCAGACACTGAAGAAAGAAGTCTAAAAGGTAATGTGGAAAGAGAGAAGATATTATGATAAAGCTATTCAAGTACTTTTAGAAGTAAAGTAAAAGTAGCTGTGTCAGATTTTTCTGCCACAACTAAAAGTAAAATGATTCCATAGAATTCTATTAAATCATATAGTGTAATTACATATAATATAGCCGTATATTTTGGAAATGGATTGACAAATAGTATGAAATGAGTAATTTAACTTGTATAAAAATTGTCAAATATGTTTTAAAAGAAAATAACATTGCTTTGCAGCTGGTGTTTATCTGCTTACGTGCTCAAATAAATCCGCAGAGCCAGTGCTGTTCTGTTCCAGATCATCTGCTTGGTTTACAGCTCTCTGTCTGAGCTAAGTCCTGGTGGTGCAATATTATCGGAACACTATAGGGTCAGGAAGACAAACATGTATTCCTGACCCTATAGTGTTAAAACCACCATCTTGCCCCCCTGGGCCCATCCTGCCTCCCTAAATATAGCAAAATCTTACTTGTATTCAAGCCTGAATCTGTACTCTGCATGCTGTTTGCCTCAGAATAGCAAGCTGTCTGCTGACATCAGAAGTGGTGGCCTGATCCAATCACAGTGCTTCCCTATAGTATTGGCTGAGACTGACAAGGAGGCAGATCAGTGGCAGAGCCAGTACAAGTCAAACACAGCCCTGGCCAATCAGCATCCCCTCATAGAGATGAATTGAATCAATGAATCTCTATGAGGAAAGTTCAGTGTCTACATGCAGAGGGAGGAAACACTGAATGTGTTGATGCATTTTAGGCAGCAATGACCCAGGAAGAATCTCTAGCAGTCATCTAAGGAGCGGCTAGTGAAGTTAACACTAGGCTTTAATGTAAACACTGCATTTTCTCTGAAAAAAGACAGGTCTTACAGGAAAAAGACTGAAGGTAATGATTCCACTCACCAGAACAAATTCAACAACCTGTAGATGTTTTGGTGACTATAGTGCCCCTTTAAGCTCATTGACTGACATCAATTCTAGTTCAGATTTAGTGGAGATGGGTAGTGGTGCCCAGCAAGCCCAAGGTAAGCAGCCAAACCATTCTAAAATGTTTTGACTGCTTACAATCGAGGGCACCAAGCAAGCTGTAGTAGGTATGGTGCTTGGAGTGTTCCTCTAAGTATCATTTTACTTTCTTTACAGGGAGTGCAGAATTATTAGGCAAATGAGTATTTTGACCACATCATCCTCTTTATGCATGTTGTCTTACTCCAAGCTGTATAGGCTCGAAAGCCTACTACCAATTAAGCATATTAGCTGATGTGCATCTCTGTAATGAGAAGGGCTGTGGTCTAATGACATCAACACCCTATATCAGGTGTGCATAATTATTAGGCAACTTCCTTTCCTTTGGCAAAATGGGTCAAAGGAAGGACTTGACAGGCTCAGAAAAGTCAAAAATAGTGAGATATCTTGCAGAGGGATGCAGCACTCTTAAAATTGCAAAACTTCTGAAGCGTGATCATCGAACAATCAAGCGTTTCATTCAAAATAGTCAACAGGGTCTCAAGAAGCGTGTGGAAAAACCAAGGCGCAAAATAACTGCCCATGATCTGAGAAAAGTCAAGCGTGCAGCTGCCACGATGCCACTTGCCACCAGTTTGGCCATATTTCAGAGCTGCAACATTACTGGAGTGCCCAAAAGCACAAGTTGTGCAATACTCAGAGACATGGCCAAGGTAAGAAAGCCTGAAAGACGACCACCACTGAACAAGACACACAAGCTGAAGCGTCAAGACTGGGCCAAGAAATATCTCAAGACTGATTTTTCTAAGGTTTATGGACTGATGAAATGAGAGTGAGTCTTGATGGGCCAGATGGATGGGCCCGTGGCTGGATTGGTAAAGGGCAGAGAGCTCCAGTCCGACTCAGACGCCAGCAAGGTGGAGGTGGAGTACTGGTTTGGGCTGGTATCATCAAAGATGAGCTTGTGGGGCCTTTTCGGGTTGAGGATCGAGTCAAGCTCAACTCCCAGTCTACTGCCAGTTCCTGGAAGACACCTTCTTCAAGCAGTGGTACAGGAAGAAGTCTGCATCCTTCAAGAAAAACATGATTTTCATGCAGGACAATGCTCCATCACACGCGTCCAAGTACTCCACAGTGTGGCTGGCAAGAAAGGGTAAAAAAGAAGAAAATCTAATGACATGGCCTCCTTGTTCACCTGATCTGAACCCCATTGAGAACCTGTGGTCCATCATCAAATGTGAGATTTACAAGGAGGAAAAACAGTACACCTCTCTGAACAGTGTCTGGGAGGCTGTGGTTGCTGCTGCACGCAATGTTGATGGTGAACAGATCAAAACACTGACAGAATCCATGGATGGCAGGCTTTTGAGTGTCCTTGCAAAGAAAGGTGGCTATATTGGTCACTGATTTGTTTTTGTTTTGTTTTGAATGTCAGAAATGTATATTTGTGAATGTTGAGATGTTATATTGGTTTCACTGGTAATAATAAATAATTGAAATAGGTATATATTTGTTTTTTGTTAAGTTGCCTAATAATTATGCACAGTAATAGTCACCTGCACACACAGATATCCCCCTAACATAGCTATAACTAAAAACAAACTAAAAACTACTTCCAAAAATATTCAGCTTTGATATTAACCCCTTAAGGACGAGTGACGGACGAGGTCCGTCACTCAGGGGAAACCCTTAACGACGAGTGACGGACCTCGTCCGTCACGGGGTAAAATTAACCCTGGATCGCCGCTATCGCGGCGATCGCGGGGTTAATGGTGCTCCGGTATGCCTCTGCATTAGAGGCATACCGGGAGCACCCGGTCAGGCTGCCCAGCACATGTGCTCGCTCTGACCACAAGTCGGAGCGAGCACATGTGCTCTGTATACTCACCTACCGGCTCCCTGCACTTCCGGGTTCTGTGTGAAGTGCAGGGAGCCGGATCAGTGCTGATCCTGCCCCCTGCTGGAAAAAAAAATAAAGTTTATTTAAAGTCCCCCCCCCCTTTACCCATTTTAATAAAAAATTAACCCCTTCCCTGCCAATTGATCACTGACTACAGTTATCAATTGGCAGGGATTACATTTTACTATGATCTGATTTTTTTATTTTTTTAACCCCTGAGGGTTAATTCTTTTTTTTTTAACCCTCAGGGGTTAAATTTATTTAATTAATTAAAATATTTTAAAATTATATATTTAGCTAGCTGGGGTGGGTGGAAGTTAGTGGGGAATTGGGGGATTTGGCGTTAGGCTAACTAGGGGTTAACGTTAAAAAAAGTTTTAAAATAACCTTTAAAAAGTAAAAAATTAAGCTTAAAAAATGTTTTAATAACATTTAAGTAAAAAAAAAAAAAAAACCTTTACCTAGTCCAAATAAAAATTAACCCCTTCCCTGCCAGTCGATCACTGCCTACAGCGATCAAATAGAGATCACAGTATTATACTGTGATCTAATTTTTTTTAACCCCTGAAGATTAACTTTTTATTTATTTTTTAACCCTCAGGGGTTCAATTTATTTAATTAATTAATTAAAATATTTTATAACTATGTATTTTGCTAGCTGGGGTGGGTGGGAGTTATGGGAAAATGGGGAATTTACTGTTAGTGCTGCGTACTGCTAGTTAGGGGTTAACAGTAAAAAAAATAGCTTAGAAAAATGTTAAATCTGTAAAAAAAGTTTTAAGAAAGTTTAGGAAAGTTTAAAAAAAATTTATAAGCAAAACAAAAGTTTAAAAACTAGTTTTTAAAAGTAAAAAGTTATAAAAAGTAAAAAAATACATTTTAAAAACGCTCATTACCACTACACCTGGAGCAAACTAGAGAAAAAATTATCCCACGCCAAGGTTCAAAATATGCCTTTTGAATTACCCAGGGTGTATTCTTTAATAAATAGTATGTGTTTGTGGGGAAGTTTCAATAACCAACCAGCTAAACTACTCCAAATTGGAACATGGACACAGCGTAAAACTTCAAAGTTAGA